ACACAGAATAGTTTCATGATAAATTGACCATACTTGTCTAAGACTCCTTGAAGAAACAGACTTTTGACTGCTGAGAGATCTGGGTCAGAAACAGTGACAAGACCTAATTTTGTAACAAGGCAAAAGATAGCAAAAAGTGACACTGATGCCTACCCCTTAAGATTGTCTGGGGGATTAGATGAATTAGTGTCACGTAACTCTTGGCATATAGTGAACTCACTGTTATCAATTCTGACTCATAGCAACCATACTCTAGAGCAGAGGTTCTCAACCTGGGGGTTGAACGACCCTTTCACAGGGGTTGCCCAATTCATAACAGTAGCAAAATTAGTTATGAAGTAGCAACAAAAATAACGTTATGGCTGGGGGGTCCCCACAACACAAGGAACTGTATTAAAGGGTCGGCAGTAGGAAGGTTGAGAACCACTGCTCTAGAGGCTGTCGCTACTATGTGTCCTCAAGTCCGTTCCAATGCATAGGGATACTATGCACACAGAACCAAACACTGCTTGGTCCTTCCTGTGCCATCCTCATAGTCACTGTCCTGTTTGCGCCCACTGTTGCAGCCACTGATGGTCTTCCCCCCCTTTAGCTGACCCTCACTTTGCCAGGCCTGATGCCCTTTCCTAGTGGCTGATCTCTTCTAATAATATATCCAAAGTCTGTAAGACAAAGTCTTGTCCTCCTTGCTTCTCAGGAACATTCTGGTCACATCTCTCCTAAGATATTGTTCGTTCTCCTAGCAGTCCACTGTGGGAGACAGGACCCGTGAAGGAAAGAAGCATTAAGAGAGACAGGTTATCTGGAAGGGTGATCTTAGAGTAAGGTGACCAGACGTCCCGCTTTTGGCGGGACGGTCTGATTTTTAACAATTTTTTCCTGTGTTCCACAGCATTTTTTAAAAGTCCCGATTTTTGGAAAGAATGCACAACAAGCTAGGGTATACGGTTTTTGGCTGCCATGTAGCTATTTCACCAGGATATGAGTTTTATCAATTGTGTCCCGCTTTACCAATGTTAAAATCTGGTCACCTTATCTTAGAGCCTAGGACAATCTAAATTTATGCCTGAAAGCATCAGACCCCTAGCCTGATTTCTAAACTCGAAGGGTATCAAACCTAAGACTCCTTTTGTTGACCTTTTAAATTCGTACTTCCTTGTTCATGCCCAGCCAAGACCTAGCTGAGGGGAGAGCACGGCCAGGTTAATGATTGGCCCTGAGAAATAGGACCAATCCTGCGATTGATCCATTCATAACCCGGAGATGCTGACAGGCCAAATACCCTACACCTGATAAAAGACCCTAGAAACAGTTCATTCAACAGCAATAAACTCAAGGCTCCACCTGCTGCACCAGGTACTTTTCTTTCCAAATTAACTACTTGCCGTAGTGTGGTCTGTGAGTCCATTCCCAGGTTTGAGAGACCAAGAGCTCCTCGGCCCATCTGAGCAGTTACAACAACAGCATTTTCAATATTCATAGAGCCACCACAATACGACAAACTGGCAGGCAAGTGGTGGCTATAAAGGCTTGTCGTTTACTATTTTTGTTATCTAATCATAATAGTGTAGTTCTCCAAAAGATCCGTCCAAGTCCCTAGTACCTGTGAATGTGACCATATTTGGAAACAAACTGAGCATCATACAGTATATCAATTATAATTACAATACGGTCGGGTTTTTTTAAAGGGAATAAAGACTTTTATACTAGGAAAATACAACTGTATTTGTAAATTGAAAATGCCCCGATAATAAAAGCAAAATTACAAAATCCCCACCTCAACTGAACTTAATGTTCTTTCAATTATTTCTCTAAATCGTCCCTATCTTCTGGAATGAAGCTTCTGGATTATCATTAACAGGCACTATCTTTATCGCAGAGCTATTTATTTCCCACCCACATACGGTTAAGCACTCTACTACTGGCCAAAAGATCTGTGGTTCACACGCACTCTGAGGTTTCATGGAAGGCTGGCCTAGAAATCCACTTGAAAACCCTGTGGAGAAATTCTATCCTACACACATAGGGTTGCCATGAATCACAGTCAATTGG